AGTCTTAGAAGTGTGTTTTTGATTTTTTTTTTTTAGGCACCCACTTTGAATGATGATCTGAGCGCCAGCAGCAGCAGCTCAGTGGAGATCAGCGGTCTGCTGAGTGAAGCCAAGATGTCAGGACGCTCACACACCCTGGTGCTTTCCTCAGACGAGGTCCATGTACAATCTTACAGTATCAACATACAGATACAGAATCAACATGAGATTGATTTAGTTGAACCACATCAAAAGTACAAACCCTAAACAAAAGCTTTCAGAGTGATTACTTAGGAAAAGTAATTTGTCAGTTCACATAGAAATATAGACCCCAGCTTTGTAAAAATGTAGGCACCTGTCAGTATATTTGTATTTTAGTAAATTTACATGTAAATACAAACAAGAAGAACATCTGAAAAACAAAGAAATTTGCTCCTACATTGCATCTGTTTATTCATATGAAGTTAAAAAAAATATTAGTCTTTATTATTTGTGTCGCTGCCCCCATTTATCATTTTTATAGATAACTCTGACAGAAAAAAAACATCCTCTATTCTCTACAGGGAGGGAGCTGCTTCTCTCATATCCTTCTTGCAGATAACAAACAAGCTAAAATCAGTGCACCGGTTTAGGCTCATTGTATTCAAATGTTGTTTTCGGCTGCTGGAAGCCATTTTGTTGCTGCTCTGTTAACAACCCAGTCATTTTCTGTTGTTTTCTATGCCGCCACATTCAGAGTCTGGATATGATAGATGATGAGGTGAGACTGAGGCTGCAAGCCTACAGGGGACATGTGTTTTACTGAAAGTGTGTCTTGTGGTGTATGTGTGTGTTGAGTATAAGCCATGTGTTCATATTTCATTCCAACACAATTCATAGTTATGTTTCTTTTTTTTTTTGCATGTCCCAAAAAATTAATGTTTCTTTTTTTTTTTTCATGTCCCAAATAATTAATGTTTCTTATTCTTTTTTCCACTTTATACATTTTTTATGGTCAAGTCATTATTCACTCTTTTCTGTAGAAGATATACTTTCAGTGCAGTGATGTATGTTAGAATTGGAGATTTGTGCATCTCATCTGGGGCTTTCTTTTTCTCTTTGTTATATTTTTTCAGATCCTAGATGAGGGACAGTTTTCGAAGCAGTATCAGTGGCAGAACCGCACCATTACAGAGTGGACCTCCCAGCAAGTGGCCCACTGGCTCATGGGCCTCAACTTAGAACACCATATCCCAGAATTCACTGCCAAAAACATAGATGGAGAACAGCTGCTACAGCTGGGTAGCACTGAGCTAAAGGTAGGTTAAAACCTCATGTTTTTATACATATATTGTGCATATATTGTAGTCACATACAGATAAGTTAGAGCCTGCAGATATAGATATAGTATATTGGTATTAGTATACATTATGGTTAATAATTTTGTTATCATGAATTCGTAGATTTAAAATCTGATATGGTGACAGCCCTAATTGGATTGTTTCAAAAATGTTTGTTTATGTTACGTGTTAATGTAAAAATAATTGAATCTGCAGATATATTGTAACAGAATTTTTTAAAATCTAGCATCCCTCAAGTTATAATGTTATCTAAACAGATAAATAGACCAAAGAAGCAGGATGCTTATGCACATTCTTTTGTTTCAGGCCCTTGGAGTCACTTCTTCGCAGGACCGTGCCGTGATTAAGAAAAAGATCAAAGACCTTAAAGTTCTGATGGAGAAGGCCAAGAGGAACCGTGAGAAGGTGGAGAAACAGCGCGAGAAGATACGGAAAAGAGAGCTGGAGCAGCAGCAGAAAGAGGGGCGCAAAGAAGGCGCAGCAGAGTGAAGCGAATCGTTAGATCACCTCCTGCTTTACTGTAGCACCACAACAAGTAGCATCGAGGAACAGAACGTCAGTAGGCCCCGCAAATGAACCCTGAGGGACGCCTACTCAGTAGTTCAGTAGTTCTCAGTGGTGGAGCTCCACCCCAAACTGTCAGAGATTGTTGAGTGACTTTTTCACCAAGCAAATTAAACCAAAATGAGCAGTTGGATAATAGGATGCTGCCCCTTCATTTGCCTAGTTTTACACCTATCCTGTGTTTTAGCCACTTAAGAATTTACTAGGTTCTATTTATTTTGCTGTTTATAGCTTGTAAATTGGGTTTATTTATTCATATTCAGAGTAAGTCTGTGCTAAACTCATTTCATTCTCATCCCATATCATCCTCAGAGCCATCTGCAGTATCCATCACAACACCTTTAGACACAATGACCATGTACATATACAATGATAAATACAGATACAAATATCTCTGATGTGCCATTTTGATAGATTTATGTGTATACTGTTCAGATACATTGATCAGTGGAATCTCTATTGCTTTGAAGCACATACAGGTCAGGCAGTACTCATCTCCCACCACTGGGTGTCCCCATGCTGCTTATTTTCACTACTGACCAAGACAACACTGGAACTGTCCAATAGGAACTGAACTGGGAACCAAGTTTCACAGAGAGGAACAAACTCTCTCAGCATTTGCAAGAACACTGGAAGTGCAAGCACTGTAAATTTAACCTCTGCACTGGCTCGTCCAGTGCTCCGTGCAGTATACATGTAACATTACTAAAGCAGTTCTCAAGGTATGAATAACAAGGACATGCTGTGCTCATTGGACTGGTTCTAATGGAGACTTCAGGTACAATGTAATCATGAAATTTGTAACTTACCTAACCCGTACCATAAAAACAAACAAACAAAACAATATGATGAAAAGAAACTTCCTGCTTATATGCATAATGTTGCTTTGACTCTGCTTGTAACCTGCTTTTGACCTCTTTTTATATTGTCTCGATAACAAAGTAATACCCCGCCGCTGCCTTTAGAAATTCTAGAGTAGTAGAATTTTTCTGATCTCTACCCGCTTCTGTGTGAGTGTTGAAACACATACAGTAGACTAAACTGAGTCATCCATTCCTGATTGTCATTTTATTTTTTCAGAAGAAGTCAAGCTCACCATGCAAATTACTCTGGAATATTCTTAATAATATTTAGGAATGCTGCCATATACGTGGTTCGTCTCTGTGATCGAGGACAGATGCAGGAGGTGCAGAAATTGTCTTAAAGATTACCTGATACTACTGATGTTACACTGGAAATTGCACCTGATAGATGAAATATAGTTTTAATTTTCTTATGAAACTGGTTCAGTAGGATTTAAAAAAAAAAAATTGATTTACTTGTTAGATGAAAACTACACCTTTTAAACTGATTTTGACTTATGTACTTTATGCAGTTTTTGTTTTAGGATTATGAAGCTCTATGAGAGACATGTTCCCTGTGTTACTTCTTTATCATTCCCAGGAATCATTGCGTAGGTTTACAATAAATATACAGACACCAGTTTCACCGTGATAGAAAAGAAGGCAGCTTTAGTAATACTCCCTCTTGTCTTAAGGGCCCTGCCTGGTGTACTGGTAACAGGTTAAGAACAGGAGGAACAGTTGGGGTTACAGATCCCGCCATGCAATGCAACAGTAAGACTGATCTGTTAATGTTATTATTTATTTATTTCTGTATTTAACGAAGAAACTGACTTGTTTATGATAACTTATACAAAATAAGAGTATTATTAACACCTAATAATGATTTATCCAGAATTGTATGATTACTTCCTTTTGCCAAAACATCATGAAAACTGTTAATTAAAAATGATTTAAAGATTTAAATGGTTGTTATCAAATGAAGGAAGGTTTGGACATGCAAAGCAAAAAGGAAACACAGTAATACTCCCCCATTGTGCTTGTGGTTTTCCTCTAATACAACCATAGTGCTGCTCCAGTGTTACTCCAATAAACTGCTCATGATGTATTCTTATGAAATATTTTGTAACACTTGAACCTTTCTGTGAATACCCCCCACCCCACCCCGTTAAGTCAGTCAGCAGACTGCACTCTTTTGACTCTTTTGTATGTATAGTAAAAACACTGAGAGCAATATGCTGTAAGAATCCTAAAGAAGCCTTGTTTTCTATTGTGTCAGTGTGTGTACACAGTTTGTCGGAGGGTTGAGGTGGCTACAAGGTCAGACCTGAGCCGAAATGTGATTCCAGATCTTTTCTATGTGCTTGAGTGAGCTTGCCTGGCATGATGACACCAACGTATGGATGAGACCCTGGTGCTCCTTGCGACGTTTTGAGTCTTATCTGGAAGGGTTTGTCTTTCATGTATGTAGAGAGCAAAAAGATAATCACCAACTGCTAGCCGTGCTTTCACTCTTTTAAAAAGCTGTGCTTATTCTCCTCCTCCTTTGTTTGTCATTACCTTGCTCTCTTTTTTCGCATTCTGAAAAGTTTGAAAGGGCAGCTACCTGTCACACTGAATAAAATGTGCAGTCACTGTCCAGAGCTTGTTTTCGTTTCTTCTGTTTTTCATCTTTCGTATGAATTCCCCTACATAGTTGTATAAGCCAGAGACAGAATCTGTATCCCATACAGCCCAACAAAATTCATATTATGACTGGTAAGTAGGGTGCACTTTAAAAGAATGGACCAGTTCCAGTCACATTAAGATATGAGAATAGAATAATAGAGGAGTACTAAACATTTGCCATGCCCCTGCCATTTTCACATGGCCTGCTATTTTCACCATGTGACCATCCACTGCATGATGCCTCTCTCCCAGTGAACATTGCAGCAGACTGGCTGAATTTGAGTCAGCTGCAGCCAGTTGTACCTCTCCAGTCCCTCCCTCTCTCCTTTCTATTTATATTCGGCTTAATTTCACTCCAGGACTATTTTCTCCCTCTGACGTCTCCCACCTTGTCACTTGTTGCCCCTCTTCTTCTACTTCATTTCCGTCTTCCTTCCTCATACACTTCCCATGGCTGGGCTTACGGAGGCCTTCCAGTGTTGGTATGCTAAATTACTTCATTATCACAATTTGTGCATTCATTTCCAATCTCCTCCATGCTTTGTGGAGAGCATTAGTGTCTGAGCCGGCTGGTTTGGCAGTGCGAGGCCCTTCTGTTAGGGAGTTCATGGAGGAGTTGAGCCCCAGACAACTGGCTGTTAAGCAGCTAAAGCAAAAGTTCCTGGAGGCCCTGCAGGCCAACGATGCCCAGGAGGTCCTGCGGATTCTGCACACCAGCAAACTAGACATTGACACGGTGCTCGAGGTGGAGGACCCGAGCATGGTCCTGGCCTCATACAAACAAGGTAAGTAGGGTGACATAACTGGCCCACATTAGTGATAAAGTTGTTGCTAGTGTATGTTTGTCACACTGTACTCAGAGTTAAGGCTCAGAAGGATAGACATGACAACCCCAGTTAGATTAGTCTCCACAGTAAAAGACATGTTCATGAGAGATTACACATTTTCAAAAAGCATTAGTTAAGAAAATGCAGTAGATTGTCGACATTTTCTGAATGTTACAGTTAGGGGACGAGTTCTGCAGTGTAGCCACTAGGTGGTGCTAAACCCACATGGATCATATATGACAACAAGCAAGTCTTTAAATTCAAAAGAAAGAATGAGATATAAATCCATTGTACATCAGAAATAATATCAGCATTTTTGACCTTTACTATTACTATTAAACTCTTTTGGTTGTCTTTCAGGTTATTGGCTACCAGGCTACAAACTGGAGAAATCCTGGGCGATGGGTGTTCATGTGTGTGTGATGTACAACGCTATAGAAACAGCATTGGTGCTCCTTCAGGAAGGTGCGGCCATCAACCGGATGCCCAATGGGAAGACCCCACTACATGTGGCCTGCGAGGTCTCCAATGGCGACTGTGTGGCCATGCTTTTGGCTCATGGGGCAAAGATCAACAGCCTGTCGCTGAGCGGGCACACACCACTGCACTACTGTATCACCAAGGAGTCAGTGAACTGTGCCAAGCAGCTCATCTTAAAAGGTCAGGAGGGAAGGATGAAGAGGTGGATGGATGTATGGATGAAAGTGCAAATATAGAATATGTAAGAACCACTAAAACAACTAAACAATCATTACTTTTTCCCATGGAGGTGCAAAAGTCAACATGCCCAGCCAGAACAATGAGGAGGACTCACCGTTACACACAGCAGCCAGATTCGGCGTTCCAGAGCTGGTGGCTCTATATTTGGCTCATGGAGCATCTGTGGATGCAGTGAACTCTCTTCAGGAGACACCTCTGATGACTGCTGCCTTCTGGGCTTTTGACACTAAAGAGCAAATCTACAACGAAGATCACCATGTTGTCTGTCGTCTCCTGCTGGATCACCACTCAGGTGACACCCTCTGGATCAGTGCACAACTTTTTCTACTCACATTGTCATTGTTGTGCATCATGAAAGCTTTGCACTGTGTTTCCCAAAAACATCTTCCAGATCCCAACCTCCAAGAAGAGGACCATAAAACAGCTCTTCACAAAGCAGCCTGGAACTGTGATCACGTCCTAATGCAGATGCTGCTGGAGGCCGGAGCAGATACGAGAGCCATGGACATCAATGGCTGTGCCCCCATTCAGTATCTCCTCAAAGTGACTGATGTGAGGCCTATGGCCATACCTGAGCTCTGCTATCAGCTGCTGCTCAACCATAACGCAGCGCGGGTCTACCCACCACAGTTCCACAAGGTGGGAACCAATGCTTCCAATGCTGTTATTGAACTGCAGTATCTATGACAAATGAAATGTTGATAGCAGAAGGTCCATGAAAGATTCTGGTGCTGAATAATGTCTTGTGTGTTATTTTGTGCAGGTGCTGCAGTCTTGCCACGACTATCCCAGAGTAATAGAAATCATGGTCAACTCTTATGAACGTATAAAGCCCACAAAGAAGTGGAGGGATGCCATTCCTGATGACTGCTACAAGGTAGTGCAGGGATGTATTGTACGCGGATACTATCTACATACTTGTATTAGTGCAGGGGAGTTGAAAATATAATCACCAGAATTATGCATTCTACTGTGTCTTATAATTGAAAATAGTATAAAATTTCCCAAATTTCTTTTTGCCTCCTCAGCGACATAAAGACTTCTACGATTCAGTGTTTGCTGTTTGCACCAACACTCCTCGCAGCCTCCTTCACCTGACCAGATGTGCCATCAGAGCCAGTCTGGGTGGCTTCTGCCACAGCGGTGTAGCACAGCTGCCTCTGCCATCTCCCATGAAGAAATATTTATTACTGGAGCCTGAGGGGATACTGTACTGATGGAGAGACTTTTTTTGTAGACTTCAATCATCATATGGGATGCTCTAATATGGAGCTTGTCACCTGATGATTTAAACAGAAACATTCATTCCCTGGGGCTTTTGGCTGGAACAGGAGAAATCCCTGTTTAGTGCAGAAGACACAACATGCAAGCTGTCTCCGCAAGTCAGGCATCAGACAACTTACAATTAATCTGTTTTTTTAAGGTGGTTTAAGGTTGGATATAACAGAGGACAACTTACCACAAACCACAAATCAACTGATCGTTCAACCTTAAATATATAGGAATTTGAGCGACAGGTGAGAAAATGGCAATTCATTGCTGATAATTGCTGTGCTTATTCTGATAATAATTTATGGTGATTGTACAGTGAGGATATTTGCCTGCTTGGTAACATCACCATCCCATTCACAACATGTGTTTTTATCATTTATATCTATCATAATATCACTTTCTCTTTTAAAGTGGCAGTGACTTTCAGTAAACATCTTTGTCTTCTTTTGCACTAATTTTCCATCTGAGCAGTGTTGACCAACTTGTCTGTCTACTACAGTGCTGCCTCATATTTCAGAGGATCCAAATCTACCTGGCAACCAGCCTTAATGGTCACTCTCGTGCTCTCATGATACTCCAGACAGAACAAACACTTGACAGAGCACTCCACAACAAGTGCTTGTTTTTCCAGTGGACTGCACATGTAGGCACAAACATGGACCAATATCATTTTCTGAACACCTTTGCCAGAAATATGTAACAAACTATAAAAAAACATATACAAGAGCATTCTTCGGAAAATATTTGAATCTTTTGTCCTTCAATTCCCCCCACAAAATGTGAAATGTGAATATTTTGTTCAGCTGTTTTCTTCATCCCCAATCATACAGTGTACTGATGGCAAAAATAAAGGGAATGTCATTGTGTGTTTTATTTAAAATATTTTCAAGCTTCCACGTTCTTTGAACAATCCCAGTATATTGGGGGGAGTATGTTGCATTGTTCCAAGTACAGTGTCTTTATATCGGTGTCAGTATCTTATTATACGAAGGAATTAAATGCCTCTTGGATCAATGTCTTACAATACAACAATAAAACAACAGTACAGTTGTTTGTAACTGTACTGTTGGACTGCTGGCTTACAGCTGCCAAGGGTCCACAGGTTTTAGACTGGTGGCCTTACAATGAACCCTCTGTAAAGCCCAACAGGTGCAACAGGGTGCAGTACCACCCGCAAGCTCAAGGCAGCAAAACCCTGCAACACAACACAGACGAGCGTAAGCTGTAGTTCCAATATTTACTTTCACTTTACATTAGCACAAGTGTAAATAAAGAGAGCAGCTTAGTTGTGTTGTTTATTCCGTCTTAAAACTGCCCCCCCCACATTTTAATGAAAGCCTAGAACCAAATGAAAATGAAGTCTCTATTGTAGCTGTGTTGGTCTGTATGTGTAGCAGACATATGCTGTAGAGGGAACATTGTCTGGATGACTAAAGGGTCAGACCTCACACCCTGATATCTTAAAATAAACCAGCAAGAGCCAGGGACGGAGACATATTATAATAATGGGGAGGGGGAAAAACAGTTCACTATTTAATCGACTTTGACATTGGCATTAACCTCTGTGGTGACTCTGACATTGCAGCGATTTCATTTTTACTTTTCATTTTGTTGCCTTTGAGAATTACCTTAAATAGTGCTGTTTTTGTACTGCTGCCATAACAATAATACCTCAGTGAAGTGGAAAACACACTGGCGAGACACAAACAGAGAAAGTAACAAAACCAGAATAGAGTGCAACGTGTGGGCAGACTAATGAAGGGGCAAAACAGAGCAGGACAGCCTGTTCTCAGCGCCTAATGGCAGCTGGCCATGAAAAGCCAACGGACTGTGTCTGCAACGTTGACAGAGAAACAGAGCAAAGTTTCCTAAAAACAAGCTGTGAAGGGAAAACAGGGAGTCAGGAGGACACTGCATGCGGAGCTGTTTATGTAACACACTAGATATATACTACATACTTCTGTTACCTGAAATCTTTCATGTTGCATAAATCAACTTGTGAAAAAAATTCCAGCCAACACATGAACGAGTAACTATAAATGCTGCAACGCAACAAATAGCAGAGAACAGAGTTCACCAGTCAACGGTGACAACAACAATGAACAAACAAACTTCAAAAGGCGGAAGAAATGACATGTCGAGATTTTTATTTTCTACATTCACCGGTCCTTTTAGTGGTGAACCACAACTTCAGTACATGAACACTTGGCCTTTGAGAGTGATGTTGCACCATATAAAAAGTGACCAAAACATGTCTACTAGTTCACAAATCATGAAATATTATTAACTAAAATGAGAGAATTACATAACAATATTCAAATTCTAAAACAATAAGCCATTACTAAAAGCTTAAAACTAGGCTGAATAGAGAGGTGTATGAAAGTATAACTGGTGTGTCGCGGGGAAATGGAATATTTGAAATTGGTTTTACAGATATGTCAATAAAGCTTGCATATGGCATCATCTGAGTTATTCCTGTGTCTGCTAAACTGAACTCGGTGTGTGTATCAACCTATGAAATACAGATGACATGCTTTACTAATCTGAGCATGAGAACTAGGCTTACAGCAAGTCATATGAGAGAAAGCTGAAGTTATCTGCAGTGCAACATTTAGCATTTCACACAAGCCAAACACAAACCCTCTGAAGTGCAGCAAGTCACTTAAATATACAACACACACGCCATTATAAAACACTTAGGGTGATGTTACCAAATTACCTTCAATATGCATGAGAGCACCTGTGTAACTCTAGACACTTTCTCCTGGGAACACTGAAAATGTTGGAAAAATGTGTTTCAGTTCCTGCTGTGATTGACTTAACACATCCGTTTCAGCACAGGAAAATTATTGTGGAGGTCAAGGTTAACTTGGCAGTTGTTGCAATTAAAATGCAAATATTCAGATTTGAGCTGCACAAATCAACTTTAAATATGCAGTGATACTTTGTTTTAACAATTCCACTTCTCATTTTCAGAATTCACAATAATTCAACTTTGAAAATGATCTTAGCTTACATGGGTTCACGGATAAGGCACAAGGTAGGTAGTTTACTTACAATCAGAGTCCTCTAACAAAAGGATCACAATTTGTTTAAATTACAATTGAACGAGCTAACAGATTTTACATTGAAGTGATCAAAGCAAAAATCTTTTCAGGCCTCATTAATTCACAGCACACGTAACTGATACAACTTATTATGTTTCTGAAATGTTCCACTTGTATCAGAGCTGAACATGAAATGCAGAAGTCGTTTGTGTGAAGCTGTTCTGCAAGTTATAAAGGACTGAAATGCAAACAGGAGGAACAGACTTTGCTCCCTTTGTCTTTAGGCATTGAACATGTTCCCATTCTGATTAACTTGAGTGACTGGGCTTTGTCAAGGCACTGATACACATTTAACCTCATGCAAAAACACAATTTTACCCAGTAATTCAATTAACCAAAGAACGTTAGCTGCTGAAATGACGAAATGATACATTTTGAAAGAAAAAAAAATACATAAACACAAACAGCTAGCACACTTGTTTCACAGTGTCTCCACGTTATTAAAGCTAAATAACTGAAAAATGGGTGTAATGAGCGAGGCAACACGAGATTAATACTTGACTTGTTCCATTACCATTAGCAGCCTGTAATCATCGTATAATGGAATTAAATGTGGTGAGCTTTTGTTGGGTTAAATTGCCTGGAGGCTGGCAGTAATAGTACAGCCCAGTTATTTCACTGCATTTATCTGATTCTTGACACCAACAATGAGCAATTTTCTCCTCCTAGGTTTCTCTCTTGGGTGAGAAAAGAATCCAGATTCCACGTACACAAGTCCAGGTCCAGCAACATGCTGAGAGGAAATGGTTCCTTCTTTCACTTACAGTACAAATTTATCCACTTCTTCCAGCATGGACCCTCTTCCTCTTAATTGTACTATTCATTTACTCAGACTACTCTATAGTGTCCTCAACTTCGTCCCTTAGTCTATCATCATTGAGTCCTCTCATACTTGCCCAATTTCTTTGGATCCTTGCTGGGCATGCACCAGTCGTCAGCCTCTGTTGTGGTCTGGTAATGCCGTAGGGCTGACTTGTTGAAAACAGGAAGTCTCTCCACTGACTCTGAGGACAAGGCCTGGTGATACAGGACAGAATGGAACTTATTAGTCTGGACCCGTGAATGAGAGTCACGTCCAGGCTGTTTCTCGTTGGGCTACAAAGTTCCATCTGTGCCTGATTAAAACTTTTCTAACATGGAACACGTGGTGAGTTGTAACTTGCATCAAGACTCACATCAGTTGTGCATCTGTATTACATAATTACTCTACATCTGCCACCACTCAGTCAATCAAGTATGTGTCGTTGACTGTACATGTCTATGTGAACTTTGCATCAACTTGGCTTTCAGTTATGTTTGACATTGTGTGTGGAGATTGTTCTGTTCTCACCTTCAAGTATATGACAGCTGAGGTACCGTAGCCCTCCATAGAGTACAGCTGCAGATCTCCCTGGAAATACTTGGCATACAGGCGGGAGATGGGCAGGCCATAACCAAAACCAGCCTGACAGAAAAATAACAGGTTTACAATATCTTTACAGATTAGGTTGTCTGAGCCAGTTGTTAAAACATCACAACATAAAGAACATAAAGTGGATACTGTAGAGGGCTTGCTTTGTAATAAGATCTTAAATTTATCTTGTGGTTACAGTTTAATCCAGTGAAATGTTGCTGACTGATTTCCTCTTTGAAATAAGATAATCTGCAATCATGCTCAGTCGTGTGGGCCTCTGTTTAGAGCAAGGAGAAATACATCCCAGCGCAAAACAGCACAGCGAGATTTTTACTGAGCTGCATCTCATGTTTAAAAGCTTGCAGTCTTGTAGCATATTGTGTTCTGACTGAGACAATCATCGACAATGATGACTGAAAAATGTGCAAGAGTGACCAAGTGCAAC